CATCACTACTACTGCTCTACCACAGTAGTGGACCCAGCCTCAGCATCACTAACTACTTGCTCTACCACAGTAGTGGACCACCCCCTCAGCATCACTACTACGCCTCTACCACAGTAGTGGACCCTCAGCTCAGCATCACTACTACTGCTCTACCACAGTAGTGGACCCACCTCAGCCAGCATACTACCTATGCTCTACCACAGTAGTGGACCAACCACCTCAGCAATCATACTACGGCTCTACCACAGGGTTAGTGGACCCACCTCACCGCATCAGCATCCACTAACTACTGCTCAATACCACCGTAGTGGGACCCACCTCCGCCTCACATCACTACTACTGCTCTACCAAAGCAGTAGTGGACCACCTCAGCTAGCATCACTACTAACTGCTTCTACCCCAGTAGTGGACCAACTCCCTCAGCATCACTACTACTGTCTCTCACCACAGTAGTGGACCACCTCAGCCTCAGCCTCACTACGTACTGCTCTACCCACAGTAGTGGACCACCTCAGCCTCAGCATCACTACTACTGCTCTACCAACAGTAGTGGGACACCCAGCCTCAGCATCACTACTACTGCTCTACCACAGTATGTGGGACCACCTCAGGCCTCAGCATCACTCTACTGCTCTACCACAGTAGTGGGACCACCATCAGCATCACTACTACTGCTCTACCACAGTAGTGGACCACCTCATCCTCATGGCATCACTACTACTGGTCTACCACAGTAGTGGACCACTCAGCCTCAGCTGCACTACTACTGCCTCAGCATCACTACTACTGCTCTAACCACAGTAGTGGACCACCTCAGCATCACTACTACTGCTCTACCCCCAGTAGGGACCACCACAGCTCACCATCACTACTACTCTCTAAACCCCAGTAGTGGACCACCTCACCTCAGCATCACTACTACTGCTCACCACAGTAGTGGGGCCCCTCACCACTATACGCTCTACCCCATAGTGGACCCCCCTCAGCATCATACTACTGTCTCCACAGTATTGGGCCACCCAGATCACTACTACTGCTCACCACATAGTGGACCCCCTCAGCAAACACACTACTCCTCTCCACAAGTGGAACCCCCAGGCCCACATCCCATCTGTCTACCCAGTATGGACCACCTCAGCACACTACCACTGCTCTACCAAGAGTGGACCACCCCCAGCCAGCATCACTACTCCTTTCCACGTATGGACCCCTAACACACACTATGCTCTACCACAGAGGGGACCCCCCATTTCCCCCCCAAAACTAAACTATGCTCTACCACAGTAGTGGACCACCATAGCACATACTACTGCCTACCAAAAAGTGGGCCCCCCCTCAGATCATACCTTTCCACCACATGTGGCCACCCAGCTCAACACTACTGCCCAAACCACAGTATGGCACCCCAGCCTCACATCAAATACTACCCTTCCACAGAGGGGCCACCCACCGCCCTCATACTACCTTACCCCTAGTGGACCCCCCACATCACTACTATCCTACCACCTAGTGGGCCCACTCAGCATCAAACGCTCTACACATAGTGGGAACCCCCTCCAAAACATACTACTGCCTTTCCCATAGTGGGCCCCCCCTCACATCCCTCTCTCCTCTAACATTGTGGACCACCCACCCCGCTCACTACTACTGCTCTCCACAGTATGGACCACCCGCTCACTACTATGCTCTACCCGTATGGGGCCCCCCAGCCCCCACTACTACTGTCTACCAGTAGTACCACCCGCTCCACCAATACATCCCCCCTTTTCCTACTCTGCTCTACCCTAGTGCCCCCCCCCCAAACACACCGCCCCTACCCCAAAATTCCCCTTTACCCCAACCCTCTTTCCCGGGATACAAAACCCCCTTACCCCTATCCCCCCCTTTAACCCCCTTTTTTCATTTTCAACCCCTTAAAATTAAAAAATTTTTGGTTTTTGGACCCCCCCCCATACTTTCCCCCGTCAACCACCCAAGGGACCCCCACTCACTAACTACCCACTGCCATCACTTTAACTTACCTCACCATAGTGGCCCTCACCCCCATCCTCACTGCTCCCCCCCACAGATGGGAACCCCCTACCCACCCCCCACACACGCTCCCCCCCCCTATCCCCCCCCCCTCCTATACTGCCTCCCCTTGGACCACCTCAGCCCACCCCCTCTCTTTTTTACAAGTATGGACCACCCCATCACAATACATGTTCACCAATAAAAGGGAAACCTACATAATACTATTTAAACAGTATGGGGCCACCCCCCAAAACATCACTACTACCCCGCCTACCACGTAGTGGCCACCCAGCATCACTACTACTGCTCTACCACATAGTGGACCACCCAGATCCTACTACTGCTTACCACGTAGGGACCACCTCGCACACTACTACTGCCTACCAAGTATGGACCACCCCAGCATCACCTACTGCTCTACCACAGTAGGGGCCACCCAGCCCCCTCATTCACATACTACTGCTTACCAAAGTATGGACCACCCACCCGCATCACTACTTGCTACCCATGTGGGAACCCACTCAGCATCATACTACTGCTCTACCCAAAATAGGGGCCACCCACACACTACATGCCTACCAAAGTAGTGGACCCCCAGCACACACTACTGCTTACCACTGTGGACCACCTCACATCAATCATACTATCCTCTACCCGTTGGGCCACCCAGCATCACTCACTGCTTACCCCATATGGCCCCCCTCAAATCACCAAATGCCTTTACCACAGTAGTGGACCACCCCGCATCCTCTACTCTCTCCACAGTAGGGACCACCCTCAGCCACTCAAACTACTGCTCTCCCCCATTGGGACCACCTTTAGAAACTAAAACTGCTCTACCCAGTGTGGGCCACCTCGCATCCCCCACTCCCCTTGGC